CCTGGGTCATTCAAATCATTAACCTGACCTGAAAATTATGAGTCAACCCGATGGGTTACTTGACCCATCAGGTTAGATTCAGAGCTCTACCTATTACTGGCTCAAGCTCTTTTCAAACTGGCTCACGAGCCACTGAGTCAATTTAATTGTGGCTCAGCTTAGCTTAGATTGAAAAACTCGAGCCAGCTCGTGAGATGGCTTGACTCATGTGAAACTTTAAAAATAGCAAATTAGTAGATTTTATTTTGCATCCATTACACATTACATAATACAAAAGATTATATTGAATCTGCAAATATTTTATTTACTACATTTAAAAAAATAAAACAAGAAGATTATTTAAACAATTATGTAATTCCTACAATTTGTGATTGGCCTGGTCAAATAAATTTAAGAAAAGCTATTACACTAAGACTTAATAAAAAAGATAATTCTGGAATTTCTTCTCAAATATTAAGTTTAATTTCTATGATTGGGCCACTTCATGTTTTTTTAAATAGCAGAGAAATATTATTTCAAATAATGGTATATCATAATCTTTTCAGAGAAAAAAAAATTTTAGTACAAAAACCAAAGCCAAGACTTATTGACTTTATATTAAATCTTACTTTTTATGGATGAAAAAATATTCGTAATTTAATTATAAAAATTATAAATCATTTTAAAAATATAAAAGATATAAAATATTTAATAATAATAGATTTATTAGATAATTCTTTACCACTTACTTTAGAAATATATGCAAAACTTTTTAGATATAGATTTTATAAAGGATATCTAGAAAGTATTGTAAAAATTTGGGGTTTATTTCAAAAATTACAAAGACATAATTATAATAAAGCACCACTTATATTTTTAAGTGATGTGTTTTATTGAACATTAAATGAGCATCCAATTATTGATATTTTAAAAAATTATTTACCAATATTTAATGACTATTTTATTGAAAATTTTTATAGTTCTCTTAAATATCAAACAGTTGAGTTAAATTCAGATAACCAAATTATTCAAAAGGCAAAAATTATTGATATTGAAAGAAATGATAAAGGGTTTAAAAAAGCATTTATTAATACAAGAAATACAAATATTTCAAAAGTTAAGTTAATATTTTTAGAGAAAAAGGTTTCATTATTTTTACTATCACGGTAATGAAACATTTGAATTTCCAAGTTTTAATAATAGAATTGTGAATATAAAAGTTCTTCCACTAGCTTGGAGTACTTCAAATCCACCAACTGAAGATAAATTTTATGATGCAGAAAATTGTAATATTACAGATTCATTATCAAATATTGTTTTAATATGTGGGCATAGCTACCATAAAAAATGTTTAAGTATACTTAATGAAAAATGTAAGTATTGCTTTAATTATTTGTCAAAAAATATTAAAACAAATATTACTAGTTTAAATAAAAGATTGTTTAAGCCATTAAAGGATAATGAAATACCTGAAATTACAAAGGATGATGATTTAAATAAAGATTATGAAGATGAAAATATTGAAACTCTTTTAAAGTAAACAGAACAAAATATAGATAATCAATATGAAATTCAGTACAATATATGGCTAAGCTACAACAATATGTAAATATATGTAATATAAATATAGATAGAAACTTTCTTTTATTTATTTAAATTATTTTTAATAAATGCATTATAAATAAAAAGCTGCCATTAATAAAAATTATTTAATGTAAAATTCATACATGAAACTAAAATTAAACTCCAAAAGCTAAAATATTATGGCTTTAAAGGTCAAAAGTCAAATTAAAAGTTCACTAAAATTACATTATATCACATAATGATTAATGACTAAATAATATAAAATTTTGAAATGTAATAGCTTTGTTATTATCAATCTGATTGCAATAATTTTACAACCATTCAAATTCTCTCAATGAGATGAATCTAATAGTATATGTTTCATTTAAATCTGATCACTATATATTGAGATTGTAAATTTTGAATTTTCATATTATTTATTAATTATAATAATCACATACTACAATATAATTTCGGCTAATTTTGACCATTTTGACCTTTAAGATGGTCAATTCAAATTATTTTAGTTTTATGTATAGCCGAATTTGCAAAAAATAATCCATAATGGTAGTTTTATTATGTGATAATATCGAATAGATAATTAACAAATGATCGGCAAAATGATCGGTAATAATATAATGTGATAATATGAGAATGTCCACCCTGTTACAGCCACATAGTAATTATGATACATATACATAAAAAAAATACATGATAATAATAAAGCAAATAAAAAAACAAAGCTATAAAAATTAGAGATTCTGGGCGAAACCGAAATATTTAGTCATTTGACTAAACTGAAATAGTTTAGACATTTAAAATTAAAAGACGAAATGCCGAAATTTAATATTCCATAGTATTTCCATGAATTTTTTATAGATTTCCATGGATTTTTAATTATAATAATTACTTATAAAAAAAAATAATAATAAATTCATATTAAAATATAATATTTTTTAAAGGAATTTATAAAACTATTATATGTATAATATAATTTCATATATTTTTATAATAAAACTATAATTTTATATAATTAATATTTAAACTTAAAAATTATTACTATATAGTTTAGTCAATGACGAAACTGAAACTAGTTGGTGACAAAACCGAAATTTTTGGTAAAAAGAGTTTAGCCAGGTATCACTAATAAAAATAAAGAATAAAACTCATATAAAAAGTTAAAGAATAAAATGATGATGAAACCTATGAAGTTAAAAAGTAAAATTCATGACAGAAAAGTAAAACATATTAAATCAATGAGCAGTATAGAGTAAAGAAAAGATAGTCAGTAAAGAATAAAAATTAGAAAATAAGTAAGAATCTAAAGATTAAAGAATAAAAAAAAATACCTACTATAAAGAAAAAAAAAAACCTCCATAATTAAGTTTAAAAGTGAACCCATAAAAAAAGTTAATGACTAAANTTAAAGAATAAAAAAAAATACCTACTATAAAGAAAAAAAAAAACCTCCATAATTAAGTTTAAAAGTGAACCCATAAAAAAAGTTAATGACTAAATAAAAGCAAATTAAGAGCAAAACGTTGAAGAAAAAGGAGTTAAAAAATGGCATAAAGAAAAGAAAATATAGTTAGTATTAAAGGAACAAAATTAAAAAATAAAACTAACAAAAAAAAGAGAATGTACCTTTTTAATGTATTAAGATATAATATTGTATTAGAAATTGTAAAATCCAGAAGAGCCTAAAAACCTAAAAAAAATGTATTTTAAAAAGAAAAAAAAAAAGAAAGCAAATAAAAATAATAAACAAAAAAAGGAAATGAAATGGAAAAAGAAAGGAAAATATAATGAAACAGAGAGAAAAGAAAAAAAATAAAAAGGAAAAAAAAAATGAAAAAAATGATATAAACATATAGTGTAACTATAAATATTAATCAGCCTAATCAAATTTATCACATGATAAAGGTGAATATAATTATATAAAATTTATTAGTAGGTTAAATTATCTAAGTTAAATCATCTCAAGTTAAAATTAGTCTTATACAAATTTATAATATCAGATAGAATTATTTAAAAATTTTATTAAACAAAATTATAATTCTAGTTAATACTACAAATTTGACCTAAAATTTCTAAAAAATTCAGTATACAGTTTACCCTTCCTATAGCGAATTTTTATATAACGAATCACGTGACACTTAACCAATAAAATATGTCAATTTTCCCTCGCTATAATGAAGTAACCAATCAAATTCTTCAAATTCTTCATTAACTTGCTATAACGAATTTGAGATGCAGAACAGTTTCTTTGCTATATCAAGGGTAGACTGTATTATATAATAAATTCATTATATATTAAACTAAATCTTCTGAAATAAAAGTTTATTTTATCCAGTGGTAATTGTAAATAAAAAAAATAAAGTCAGATTTAAATCTTTACAACTTTACCATTTTATTTTATAATAAAAAATAAAGAAAAACATTTATAATTATTAATTCTAAATTTTGTAAAAACTATATAAATCTTTTAAAACTTTTTATAAATTTTTTACTAATAATTAATAATAATAAATTTTTTTAATGTAATTGTACTTTTCAATTTGATAATTTATAATAATTCATAATTAATCATATAGATTTTATAATTATTCTTATTAATTATTTACTTTGCTACATATTCTTATTATATTATTTTACTATATATTATACTTGTTTTCTATTATCAATTTTAGTATATTTTATTATTATTATCATTTTTCTAACTATTTCAGCCTTTCTAAAAAATATGCAATTTTTTCTTTATTCCTTATATTTTGAAATTTGAAATATAATCTAAATTACTAAATATAAATGTATAGATCCAAAAATGATTTTATATTTCATATAATTATAGGTATTGGTTAAAAGTCTAATGAATTTATTATTTTTTCTATAAAGTTATATGAAATTATTATTTTCTTAAAAAAATAGCATATTTTCTTTGATTTCTAATATTACTATTATTTATATTACTTCTAATTAGTATTGGTAAAATTTATTTCAAACAAATATTAAATATAGGGGAAAAAATCTAAATGTATCAAACAGTTACTAACTATTTTTTCATTTCAGATATTTTAGTTTACAAATACTAATTGTAATAATATATATATAAGAAAAATATTCTTTATATCAGTAAAGAAAATAGTAGTTTACTTTACATATAAACTAACCTAAACTTAAAGAATTTTTGCAAAATTATCTATTTTAGTATTAATCAATATATCAAAATTTCAAAAAAATATATATGTAATTATATAATAGTAATATAATAAAAAAATACATATGACTAGATTTATTTATATTATTTCAAATATAAAGCAGAAGAGAATTTAGTAAACTTAAATATGATTTTTATTTTCATAAAATATAAAGAAAGATATACATAAATATTTAATTGAATTTAATAAACTACATATTTAAAATTGTTTGATATTATTTCTAATAAAAGGTAAAATAAATTTTATTCAAATTAATAAAAAAATTTTATGTTATTATACCTTTAATAATATTATCTGAATCATATAAAGTTATGATATCTAATGCAATGATTCAATAAAATGGTTCATGAAAAAATGCTTATATATATATATAAAAAAGCTTAAAATCACCCCACAGTTAAAATTAAAATAACTTAATGTGAGTTATTGCATTGAGGTAAAAAAACTGAACTTCTAATACCTATATGAAATTTACTTTGTAAATAATAAAAAAATTAAGGCATTAGAAATATAGGAATATTGCATGATAAATGAGGTGAAAATATTGAATTGGTGATTTGCTATCAAAATCATGTTATAAAACATAGTAATTTACTGTTTTATAACCTAATCCCTATAGCAAAATACCAAAGTATGTACTTTTAAACCTCAATCACATATAATTATCAACAAAATTTCCATATGATATGGGCGGTGTGGGTTGTTGTGTTACAGTTACAGGGGGTAATGAATAAGAATTTGAGACTTGCATATTATCTGAATTATATTCTTTTGGTGAACTTGGAGCACTATCAGCTGGTGTAACAGGATAAATTCCAACTCCGGAACATTTATAATCCATCGTCTTTGGATCCATAGATCTCAAAGTTTCACGAAATAATGCTACTTCTCGCTGATTCTCTGCTCGCCTGAACGCATCAGGATTACTCATATCTGAACCTGAAATAGCTTGGATATGCGTTAACAATAGACTACTCCAACGTTTGAATATATCCTCGGCTATGAAAAGATTGTAATCAATAAGTTTAAGAAAACAAATTTCATTTGCATTTATCTCATGAACAGGTAGACCAGATATTTTTGACCAGGCTCGATTAGAATAATTACGATCTTGAAGATACTTTGATGCGACGATTAGTGCCGCTAAAAACATACGCCTGCCGCAGGTTGCTGGGTCGTTATTCTGACTTTGATTAGAATCTGGGGGATACTCGGAAGACGGGGTTAGGGGAAGCTCGGTACGTCGAGACGTGGATGAGATTTGGGGTTTGATACGAAAGAGATAGAATAAGGCAGTTTGAAGAGTTGAATAGGAAGTCCTCGAACGACGCAAAGTTTCTTGAAGGAATAAACGTAGTGGAATAATTTTTGCACTAGGATTTACGGAAAAATTGGCCCAAATTACCTCAATAATGAGGCCAGCTGTATCTATAAATTGTCCAGTAATAAATTTGCCGGATCGATGTATTTATAAATTAAGCGTCAATTTTGATTCAAGCAGGTGGGAGGAGTTTGTTAATACGCTAGAATAAATCGTATACCTCCTCTTGGATCTCTTTTTCCTATACCCATCACTCACCGACAAGGTTTTCAACAAAAGCAGCTTTTCGATGCTTTTCACTTATTAAAGACGGAATTATATTGAGAATCGAAAATTCCTGATTCTCATTTCCTGGATCATGATGATCTGTGATTGCTATAGAATGATTACGAATGGAGTCTGACGCGTCTGCGGGAATTATGCATTTGTTAGTAGTACCAGTAGAAACTTCTTTTTGTTGATGCGTGATCCTACCCAATTGATTATTAAAATTATTATCAATCGTTTTTTGTGACCCATCATTATCAGAAGAAGTCATACTTTGTTGAAATGAGGACCCCAAAGAATTATTATTATTAACTATAGATACTTTTTCCTCTAAGGATTTAAACTGACAGGATTTTGAATAAGTTTTAAATTCCTTGATAGTTTCATTAGATTGTTGTGAATAATTCTGTATGGTGTTAGGTTTTGAAGATATATATGCACTTCCTCGAAACCGACTCCCAAAAAACAGCGGACAACGAGAACGAACCACATTTGTAGGCCATGGCTTTCCAAGTTTAGAACTTTCAATGGAGGAATTTTCTTCAAGAGGTTGAGTGGCTTGTAATGCAAGTTGCTGTAAATGAATACTACTCTCATTCAACCTTCTACGTTTTTGAATAACTTGTTGCAGCTGTTGTTGTTCGAGATGGTAGCTGTTGTCTTCTAAATAATGTTTTAGTGGCAGCTGCTGCGGAGAACCACCCATGTGGTCGCACTTCTCGTTTGGCAAAATTACCACCATTCGTCGTTTTTTCATTCTGTGAAGCACCTTGTCGAAAGATCATCAAGAAATTTAGCTAGGTAAGTTAAAACAAGTTAAAACAATAAATATATCATTTCTTTTCTGTAGAGGCTTTTGTATAAGGGTTTTATAGCTATAAGCGGAAAAAAGGTTGGCTAATAATGTGTACGCAGTTAATTTAAAGGCTGAAACAAAAGAATACAATTCTTAAAGAAAACTATAGAACTTATATTATAGGTGTTTAAAATTGCCGCAGTTTTCTCTGATATCAAAATACTTTATCTGGTATATTTATACACAAATTCAGATATTATGTAATCCAATAAATTTATTTTATTTATATTTATTGTCTATTTCCGTTATTTAGTAAAAAAAAAAGGGGGGGACATTTCCAATCTACCGCAGTTCTAGTGATTTACTGCAGAATAATATGAAATAAAAGAATGGAGAACTTGTATTCCATTATTTATTTTTTTTTTCGCCAGCCGCCACCCGCCCATCCTACTTTGATTGAGTAAAAAGCGCAGTACCCGGCCGCAAGAAGTTACAGCAGTATTACAACAATGCAGCTGGTCAAACCTAACACAGTTCATTAAATTTCGGATATATCCACCATAAATGTTTTATATCATCTACGCATCATTTTCTTATATAAATTAGTCTGAAAAAATTGGGCAAACTTTTATGTTCTCGGTTAGGTTAAAATGAGCTGCAAAATTTCTGCGGATAGAATTTATTGTAAATTGCATTAAATTTTGTGATCACGATTTCTAATTTTGTGCTATTTTATTAAAAAATTTTTTTATACGCTTAACATTTTTTTCATATTTTATTTTTACAATTTTAAATACATTATAAAAAGTATTTTCATTTATATAACTCTTTCTAATTTCTAAAATAATAAAATTTTTAAAAAATTGAATTTAAATAATGCTCAATGTCTTGTTAAATAGGTTCTCAACATTTTTTTATAACCTTTTTGGCAGGTTCATTTCTTTAATTTTAAATTTTTATTTTATAATATAATCTAAATTTAATTTGGCTTAGCTTTGTTTAATATTATTAATTGTAACTATATTGGTATTTTAATTAAATTATCTATATTTATTTATTATTATGTTAAAATTTTTATTTTACTTTATTTAAACATTTTTTTTTAAAAAAAATTCTTGTAATTTATTTTATATATTATGATTTTTGTTATTAGTAATTACTTTATAATTATTGATTTCTTATATTTTTTTTTTATTAGAAAGGAATATACTTAGTATTATAATTAAATATTTAAAAAATTTATTCTTAAATTTATAATTATATTTTAATCTGTTTTTATTTTACTAATATTATGCAAATTATTACATATTCAGTTAATATAATATAATAATTTATAATTTTTGTTTTAACAAATTTCTATACTTTATACTTTTGAAAACTTTTAGAAATATAAACTAAGCATATTTACTACTATTCCAATAAACTATTATTGCAATTTTCAAATTAGTATGATTGGTAAATTTTTTTAACAAATATATAAACTATATAGTATATATATATAACAAATTAATTAGAGAACTGGGTTTTTTCATTTCTATAATAAATTTATTATAGTCAAATGACATGATGATTATACAAATTATCTAAAAAATGTTAAGCCATTACTGTATCATGTTCAAGATATTTTTTGCTATTTGGTTTATATTTTTACTAGTAATATATAGTATGCAATTTAGTAATTTTAATTCTTATAATTACTATAATTGATTTCCAACTTTTTTCATAATTACATTAATGATTACTATAATAAAAAGTAACTAAAATACAAAATAATTAACCATTAATTATTTGGAATAACTTTTTGAATATAATTTATATAGAAATTTCAGTTATTTTCAGTTATTTTCAGTTTTTGTTATTTTTTATACTGTAAGTAATTGCAAGCAAATTTGCTCACAATTTTACTACAAATTTAGCTCTTATCTATTTTTAGAAATACTTAAGCTATTTTAATAAAATTTTTTTCTGATTAAATCAATGTATATATTATGTGATAACAATTATTAATTTACTGATCATATATTAGAAATCAAAAATTACCCATTAATCAAATAACTTCATTTTTAAAAATAACCACAAAATTAAAAAAATCTCTTTAAATTTAGCAATCTTATATTGGAATTTAATTGTAGTTATTTATAATCTTAATGTAATATTTAGAATTTATTATAAGAAATAACTTTTAATTAAGTTTTTTAATTTTAGGTATAAAATTAATTTATAATAAAAGTGCAAAATAAATTTTTATGAAGTAAAATAATTCAAATTATGAAAATTTTATATTTATTCTAATTATTATCATCTTTTTGAGTATGATAATCTTTAAAATAACTCCTATTCTTATTATAGCATAAAACTACATTGCATTTTGTCTTTTGCATTTTTTACATAATAAAAATAAAAATAAAACTAATATTCATAATATTTGTATTTTTAACAATTTGTTTAATAGGAAAAAAAATACAATATTGAATAGGATGATAGTAAAAAGAGTTCTTTAGGTAAAGTTACTGTAAATTCATATAAAGGTTTAAAATGTTAAAATTTATTAAATAAAAGTGAAAATAGGAATTGTACAGTATATTCATTATTAATATAGCCATAACTTCTTTTTTTTTCTTTACCACTACCACTATCATTATATCTACTCCTACCTCTACTTCCTACACTACCTCTATTTCTAATATTTTCTTATTTTATTATTAATATCATCATCTTATTATTATCATTATTTATTAATAAAATTATTATAAAAGGCATGCTAGAAATTACATGAGTGAAAGGTCAATTAGATATCACAATATACTTTTTATGGTTAAGGTTGCTTGTCTAAACCTCTTCAAAATCCTACAATTAGTTTCGTTAAAATTTTACTATAGATTTATTATAGTTTTAGCAGTTTCAGCATTTATAATAAGTTTCAGCAGTTTCACCTTTCTCCAAAGTTTTGCCAGTTTTTTAATATAACTTTAATATAGTTTTAGCAGAATTTTGCTTTTCGGCAAAACGCCATCTTGCCTAAACCCCTAGGTTTCAGCAAGCAACCTTATTTATGGTAATAATATATCTTTTATAGTAGTAAATAATATATAATTTTATAATTTATTTATTAAAAAGCTTTTTTTACACCATCTAAAGGTCCAATTTCAATGAATTTAATAAAGTATAAAGAGGATTACAAAACAAAAAAAAGTTTATGTAAATTAAATTATTGGATAGTAAAATAATTGTATTATAATATATATACAATCAACTTTTATAAATGGGTCTTAATGCTAAATGCACAGTTTTTATATATATATATTTTGTAAATAAATGCACCCTTTATAAAAAAATTTTATATAGTTTACTTATAAAATTTTTATATTACTTTAATATTAAATTAATATTATATCCCTTAAACTGTAAGGGCTAAAATTAATTTTAAAAATTTTTGAATTTTTATATTTATTAGATTTCTTTTATTAAGCGTAATACAGGTTAAAAAGTAAAAAATCAGGTATCAACCAATCACCAATCAGTCACCAATCAGGTAGCTGATTGGTAACTGATTGGTAACTGATTGGTAATTAAGGTTGCTGGAGAAACTAGGGGATTTTGGCAAGTTGGCAAAATGCCGAAATGGCAAAACTTTGCTGAAACTATATACAAGTCTTATTAAAAAGTTAGTAAAACTCTGGAGAAAAGCGAAACCTGACGAAACTTATTATAAATGCTGAAACTGCCAAAATCTTGCCAAAACTATAATAAAACTATAGTAAAATTTTGGAAAAACTAATCATAGAATTTTGGAGAAGTTTAGGCAGACAACCTTATTAGTGATTGATTGGCATTTTCGCCAAATACTATCACCAATCAGGCATTTACTAACTTTTAATCCAGTGATTAGAAAAGGATGAAATATAGTTCATTGGAATCATCTCAACAAGACGAATCTAATGGTAGTAAAATCACATTTTTAAAATTAATACTTGATGAGAAATTAAGTAAAATATAAAATAAAAATATATTATTTATATTTTATTTAATTTTTTATTAATTATTAATCCTAGAAATGCAATTTTACTACCATTAAATTCATCTTATTGAGATGATTCCAATGAGCTATATTTATCCTTTTCTGATTTCTGGATCAAAAATTAGCAAACTGCCTGATTGGTAATGATATTTGGCAAAAATGCTAATCAGTCACCAATCGGTCACCAATCAGCTAACTTTTCAACTTGTGGTATTTAATGATAATAATAAAATTGATAAATAAAAAGTTATATTAATTTATAAATTTTTAGATTTTGTAAGTTATCCTGTCACATAATATTTGTAGAAAGACAATTTTATTTTTATTAGATTCTTCTTATTAAGATGTATCAAATGGTAGTAATTTTATATTTTTAAAAAGAGTGATTTTAACGCTTGCCAGTGGTGAAATTCACCCAAGATAAAGTTTATTTATTACATAATTTATTAAAATTTAAATTGTTTTATTTTGAAAAAACTAATAATTTTATTAATAAAAATATTTATATAAAATATATAGTTTAAATCTAATAATATATTATACAATAATTTATAAGTTAGTATTATTATAAAAAATAGGATAAATCTTACAAATATTAAGTAGATTTTATACTGCACAACAACTTTCAATTAATAAAGGAAGTAAATTTTATTTGACTAAAGTGGTGAAATTACGCATTAAAGTTAATAAATAGAAAAAAAAATTTGAAAGTTAGTATCATGATGAAAAACATAGATTTCTTCATATATATTATACCTATACCCATAAAAATTAATATACAAGTAGTTTTTTTGACCTTGCTGAACAATTTTCAATTAATTTAGAAAGTCAATTTCATTTGACTAAAGTGGTGAAATTATGTGCTGAAGTTAATAAACAGAAAAAAAAATTCAAAAGTTAGTACTATTATGAAAAATATAGATTTCTCTATATATATTATACATACATCCATAAAAATTAATATACAAGTAGTTTTGACCTTTCTGAATAATTTTCAATTAATTTAGAAAATCAATTTCATTTGACTAAAGTGATGAAATTACTCTCTAAAGAAAAAAAAAAAATTTGAAAGTTAGTACCATTATGAAAAATGTTGGTTTCTCCATATATATTATATTTACACTCATGAATATTAATATACATGTAGTTTTGACTTTACTGAATAATTTTCAATTAATTTAGAAAGTCAATTTTATTTGACTAAAGTAGTAAAATTACACTTTGAAGTAATACAGTAAATAAAAAAATAATTTTAAAAGTTAGTACCATTATGAAAAATATGGGATTCTTTATATGTATTATATCTACACTTATAAAAAATAATATACAAGTAGTTTTGGCTCTGTTGAACAACTTTTAATTAATAAAAGAAATTGATTTCACTTGACTAAAGTAGTGAAATTACACTCTAAAGTTATTAAATAAAAAATATAAAACTTTAGGAATTAAACAGTTAGTAGTATTATAAAAAATACTAATTTCTCTATAAATTTCATTTTTAATTTATGAAATTGAGTTATATGGGTTTAATAGTATGTTTGGAAAAAAAGTTACAGTTTAAAAAATTCATAAAAAAATTTTTATTTATGTATATGAATTTGTAAAACGTAATACAAACAAAATTAATATAAAACTAAAATTATCATATTACTGGTGAATTAATTTTAAATTAACCACTGGTGAATATAAAATTAGAATTAATTTATTTTTCACCTCAGGTGATTTTTATCGGGGTGATTTTCACCTTAAAATTTTATATAATGATTTTCACTTTAATTTTATTACTAAATTTTTACATAAAATCATTATTTAGGAGGTGAATTTCATCGGTTTGATTTTCTTTCTCACAACTTTTTAAAATAATAAACAAACCATACATGGAATATATGGAAGATGAATATCTTACTAATAGCTATTCTTTAGTTATTAAAGGTTGTAAATTTGAACAAAACAATAATGAAGTTATAGAACTTAATAATAATGTATTTTGAAATTCTTTACCAGTTTTTGATAATGGATCTGAAGGATTTTACAATACAGAAGATATTTTTGAAAACTATAATTCAAATAGAACTGTAGATCCAAATTTTACTTTACTTAATGTTGATAGTCCAATTAATGAGAATATTTTAGATTTTTCTGATGATAATTCTGAAACGTTGAATTCTTCTCTTATTTACCAATATAATCTTTATGTAGGAGATATTTTTGATAACTGGCAATCCGTTGATGCATTTATGCATCAATACTGTTTAGAAAGAAGATTTGGATACCAAAATTTTCAAAATGATAAAGATTCAACTAATTCTTTGATCATTTGGCATAAATCATTTCAGTGTTTATTAGGTGATATCTATATATCTAGAAAGGAATTGATCAGAATTTGCATCATCAACATAATACTAATATATGCAATTGTGAATGGCATTGTAATTTTACGTTTCTAAAAACTACACATCAAATAAAATGTACAACTTTAAAAGATGAACATAATCATGAATTAAACCCAAATTAAATAGTTTATATTAATACCAGATATAGGTGTTTTAATAGTGATAATATGATCCAAGATTTGAAATTTTTTACCGATTGTAAAGTTACTCCTGTTGTACAACTAGAAATTCTTAGAAAAAAATATCCAGAACACGTTTTTTATAAACAAGATGTTTGTAATGCAATTTATTATTTACAAAAAGATAAAGATGAAAGCCTTGATTCTAGTACATTCACTGGTCAAAATCAATGTTATCGGGTACATAGAACTCCGAATAATACTAATACAACTCACATTTGATAGGCTAACAGTTATTTTTATTAATCATTTATAACTTCGTTTACTCAAAATACAATGAAAAGAAAAAGTAAATAAATAAAACTAAAATAAAAAGAAAATAGTTGCACAAATTTGTACATATAGAGAAGTAACCTAAACTATAAATCCCAAACTTGTATATCCCAACTTTAAACCTAAAAAGCAAAGTTTCAGATCAACTACCCATACTAAGAGAAGACTATTCAGAAGTCTGAAGCGGGGAAAGAAGCCCATTGGCCTAAGATAAAGCTACTTAAGGAGCGGAAAAACAGAAAGGTTGAACAGAAGGTTCTTTGTATGATTGAAGAGTGCTTGGCAAAATTCCTTTTGCTGCATCTTTTGTAATTTTAATTTTACACCTCGGTTGCCAAAGTTTATGATAAATTTCACGTTGAAGTTTCAAAAATGTATGAGAAATATGGAAGATATACATTTATAATTTAAACTGAAACATCGTATAAGGCATTTTGAAAGATCACATGGAATGAAGCCTTGGAGAAACCAAGAAGCTGAAAAGGAGGAATAATTATTATTGGAAAGTAAATCTGGAAGGCCAAGCACTGGTAAATTACGAAGGGCCATAAGAAGTTCATCGTATGATTGTTTGCATCATGGTGAAGAAAACACCTTAGTAGCAAGTTTGACGTGGTTACATCTTTTTAGTTCAGAAGCACAGAGTTATCATCCTCAGTATCTAGATAGCTAGGTGAGCAGATAAAAAGGTGTTCCAATGTTTCCATAAAAATGCCACAAATCGGACATAAGGAGTCATCAGCATATAGACCAGGAAATCTTTGAGAAAGCTTATACATGACAGGAAGTTCATTGAACTAAAGCTTAAGGCAAAATTGTGCAAAAATGGAAGATTTGGACACTGCAAGGTTCAGATATAAAGTTTGTTTGAAAGTATCAAAGGAGAGTGACCAGTCCACAGCGTGAAAGAAAGTTTGCATGAACAGAAAACGGGAGAGTCCTATTAACGAGAAAAATTGTTGAATATCTGAAAAAGACTGCCAATATTTAACCGGATCTTGAGTTAAAAGTTCATCATACCCAGTAAAGAGACCCATGGTGTTCAGAGAAGAAGGAAAAATAGCGTCCATTAATGGTATAGGTTGTAGCGAGTTAGGCCAATTTTGTCCTTTGATAAGTTCATGTGCGTGAATGGAATATGGAGGAGCAGAATCTTTGAGGAAACTAATAAATCTGCAAGAAATTCGTCTGGATTTCAACAATTCTGAAATACAAGACCATAAAGGATTATTCTTCAATCGGGCTCGTCTTATAGGGGAAGCTTCACACCATCGTGAAAACAAAATGTCAAATTTGAACAAGGATACAAAGGAAACGGAGGAACCCAAAGGAAGGGAATTCAACACATATAATACAAAGGTTAATTCCGCAACTTCATTATATGGAGAAATCATAGGACAGGAAAAAATTCCAGAGTTAAGTATAAAATCATCAAGGGTTTGTACCCAAGCACAGACCAGATATGAGGTTAATGAATCAATGGCATGTATAGTTCCAGATATATGGAAATTGGTATCAGAACATAAAGCAAAGGCAGAATTCGATACAGGAGTAAGATCTGATGATAAGATAGGAGAACTGTCACAATGCATTAAAGGTGATTGCTCTAATGCTAAATATCTTTCTGGGATATACAATTCTGAAAACTCAAGTAAGAATCTAAAATAAGAACATAAAATAAAAGGAGAAAGTTTTAAATTAATAAATTGTTGTAAAATATCTACGTGTGCGGTCATTTAAAAAAGTTGTAGACAATGATAAGAAGGTAAAACAGATAAACAAGAACGATGAAGTAGTTTTTCTCCAACAGATTTCAGAGCCAAAGGGCTTTCATCATTAACGAGACAGTGAAGGAAACATCTAGGACAAGGAGTAATTTGCATTTGGTTATATGTAGTAGGAATCCAATGAGAAAAATAAACTACATGAATTTCAGAGTTATCATCAATAGTATAAAAAACCCGCCTGAAAATAAGAGAATTTGAAGAGTCTACTCCAACAATCCAATAATATTCATTCAGAGTCGAATATGAGAAGAAGTGTCAATTATATCTACAAATTTTCCAACCAATAAGCCGAAACCAAAAGAGAGTTTTTCCAGTATTGGCAACAAGGCCCATTTTTTTTAGGTTAGTCCATGTAAATTGGAAGTTATAAAATGGATCCATGACTTGTGATAAACACCAGAGGGCAGATTTTAGCCAAGAGCGCGTTTTGAAATTGGCCAAGTCAGAAGATAATGAGACTAAAGGTAAAGCTTCACATGAGCCGAGCCGGCTCATGAGCTGACTCGAGCTTTTCAATCTGAGCCGAACTGAGCCACGATTAAATTGGCTTAGTGGCTCGCGAGCTAGCTTGAAAAGAGCTTGAGCCGGTAATAGGCTCGGCTCAAAAAGCTTGAGCTGGCTTGAGTTATCATATTTTTTTTAATTCTTTAGTAAAGAAACGTTGCGAAAATGTTTTTTCCACTATGTTATATTAGAAAAAAATATTTCGCAACATTTTTTTAATTCTTTAATAAAAAATATTGCGAAAACGTTTTTTTCACAATATTATATTAGAAAAAAACATTTCACAACGTTTTTTTTAATTCTTTAGTAAAGAAATGTTGCGAAAACGTCTTTTTCACTATGGTATATTAGAAAGAAACGTTTTTTAAATTCTTTAGTAAAGAAACGTTGTGAAAACATTTTTTTCACTATATTATATTAAAAAAAATGTTTCGCAACGTTTATTTCAATGCTTCAATAAAAAATATTGCGAAACGTTTTTGTGAAGATAAAGCTCGAGCTTAGCTTGGCTCGAGCTATGATTTTCATGGCTCGGCTCAGCTCACTTTAGCTTGAGCCAAAATTTTTATTGTTTAGCTTATTCTGGCTCAGGCCAGAATTTTTTTTTTCGAGTTGGTATGGTCAGAAAAATCAAATTGAAGTTTAATTTCTCGAAGTAGTTTAATGGCTTGAAAAAGCCAATTGTAACTGATGGAATGACGTTTAGAAGTCCATAAAGAGAAATCTACAAGAGAATCAGGAGAAGTAGGCCAGAAAAAAAAAAAAAAAAAAAAAAAA